GTGGTGGTGGATTATATATTTTTAATAAAAGTAAATGGAACTTCTAGAATGAAAAAAAAGAAAGAAAGAAAAACTCATAGGCTGACTATAGAATTAGTAAACTAGAAGAATGTTCCAAAGAAATTTTGCAGAATGCAGCACAGAGAGAAAAAGAGATGGGAAAAACCTGTTAGGTTAACAGAGTAGGACAGAGTAAGGAGATCGATTCTCTTCTAAAATCTTTCTATAAGAATATAGACTCAAGGGTCCCGGGTTCGATTCCAGTCAAGGGCATGTACCTTGGTTGCGGGCACATCCCCAGTGGGGAGTGTGCAGGAGGCAGCTGATCGATGTTTCTCTCTCATCGATGTTTCTGGCTCCCTATCCCTCTCCCTTCCTCTCTGTAGAAAATCAATAAAATACAATTTAAAAAAAATAATCCTACTTTGGCGGAAAGAGAATTATTTCACAAATCCAGAAATGTCTACTGTTGTATGTTTGTTCCCTCATGTCCTGTGTGGCTTAGGGTTCAGGATATGGAAGAGGAGCCACACAAAAATGAAAGAGAAGAGACAAGAGATAATTTGGAAATATTGGGGGGCCAAACGGGCAAGTCCAACTCAAGGGGAAGGACTTCCACTGGTGCCCAGGCTTCACCAGCCTTTTATTCAACTTTGGTTAAACATAAAGCTCCTACCTTAGTCAGGCAGGTAACTGCAGTAACAGACAGGCTATCTTAAAGGCCAGGAATTATTAGAAGGATTTACTCTGAGACTATTTGGTCAGGAAATAGCTTGAGCCCCCATTGTCAGGACTAGACAATCGGTGCATAACTCAGGCCCTGCCATGGGTTCAAGGGTCACCAGCCTTCTGGGATCCTTGTTTGCACTTCTCTGCTAGTGGGTGGCCTCCTGCAGTCTACTGTCACGAAGGACCACACCACTGAGAGAGGTGGACAATCCTAAGTGTACAGGCAATTTTCACAGTGAATGTTGGGATAAACGGCACCCACAGAACATATAAGGCACCCCAGCAAGCCCTGTTAAATCTTAGTCATAAACTCCCCACCCCATCCCAAGTAATAACTACCTTGATTTCTACCACCACAGATGAGTTCTGTCCGTTTTTGAGGGAATGGACTATTACAGTGGACACCCCTCTCTACCTGGCTCTCACTCAACATTATGTCCTGAGTCTCATCCCTATGGCTGTGTGGAGCTGTAGTTTATTCACTCTCATGGGTATAAGGGGCTCCATCATAAGAACAGACCACACTTCCTGTCCTCTACTGCTCATGGGCATTTGTGTTGAACCCAGATTTTACAAATCGTGCTGCCATAAATAATTTCCTCATAAGTTTTGGCACACAGATTATGCATGTCTACTGGGTATATAACTACGAGTGGAAATGCTGATCATATTGTTAGCAAATGTTTGGGTGTAGTATTTTTCAAAGTATTAGAAACAACTTACTCTTGTAATCTTAATATATGAGATAGAATTAGTTACAATGATTGGCAATAGCTGATTTTTTCTGACTTTTTAATTTTAGCCATTCTGGGAGTGTGCAATGAAAGCAGTGTGGGAAACCACCTATTGTCTTCTCTAGCAGAGAGGTGTGGACAAGGAGCCAGGAGAGATGTGGACCTTCGAAGCCCTGGCAAAGGTCAGGGCTATGCAACCACTGTTTAGTCGAGACAATGGTACCTGAAGCAACGTCTCCACCAGATAGTCATGTAAATCCTTACTGATAAGATAGTCTGTCTAAGGGCTATACGTGTATCCCAAACTGAATAAAAGGATGGCAAGACCTGAGCTCAAGCGGAGCCCATCCTCGTGGGATGGGCTCTTGCCTGGCCCCCCAATTTCCAAATTATCTCTTGTCTTGTCTTTTTCATTTGTGGGCGGTCCCTCTTCCAGATCCTGAACCCTGAACCATGCAGGAAGTGGGGGAACATTCACAAATCAGGAAGTAAGAAGTTGCAGCCCAGCACACCAGGAAGTAAAGACAGGAAGTAAAGACAGATGTTACACCCTGCCTCTGCTGTAACAATTAAGTGTGGGGAGGGGCCTGGGTGGACCAACCTCCCACCTCCTCACAGAATGCTGATAGGAACACACACATTCCGATGAGTGTGTTTGCAGAAAGAAAGCAGATTATCTTGAATCACAAAGTGGCAGTGTGAATAAATCTCCTGTCCTTCAGTTCCAGACAGGGAACCCGCCTCATGCTGTGGGAGAAAATGATCATGAACAAATTCAGCTTAATAACGCACTGCAGGTTCAATATGTCCCAAAGAATCCCCATCACCCAGTCCTGTCCCCTTTGCCCCAAGCTCTCCGATTCTCACCTTTAGAAGCTATGAGAGATACATCAGAGCCTTGGGAACTATCACTGCCTGGGGTAAAACAAAACAGGAAGTGGTCAGAGCCCCCAGGAGAGACTAAGGGAGGAACTATGAAGGTGAGGTGCCCCATGGGCTCCCCTCTGCAGTGTCACAAGGACTCAGGGGTCACCCTCCATACTCACTGGCAGCCTGGGCATAGCTCCCTCCTTTTCCACCTGTGGGAAGAAAACATCCTGTAAGAAGGGAGGAGGCAGGGCCATTAGGTCCTAAAGGAGCTCCTAGTCCTGGAGCCCAGAGAAGTTTCCAGAACTGTGACTACAGACCCAGGGAAGGATCAGGAAACCTGAAGAATGTCCCAGATGCGGTGTTTTTAAAGGATAAGTACAACTCTTCTAACTTAGTTTTATAGAAAAAGCAAAACGTGCTGGTGTCAGCAGGGCCCTTCCACCCTGGACCTGGGAGTGCTGGGAACCGGGCCCCATCACTAGAATCATCAAAGTGATGAATCTGTCCCTCATTTTCGCAAGTGTCTTACTAAAGAGTGAGTGTCAGCAAATAGGCCCCACACTGGGCAACCACACGTGTGGAGATGGTACTTGCCCTTAATGAAGCAGAACACACTTCTACCTGGGCTGGCAACCCCCAGTGAGACAAGACACTCAGGCCCCACCCCTTCCCTACCTGAGCGCTTCCTCCTCCACATCACAGCTCCAGTGACCACAGCTCCAGTGACCACAGCTCCAAGGATGACCAAGCCCACAACCAGGCCCACAGGGGGGATGGTGGCCTGAAGAGGCGGCTCTGGGGAGGGAAGGGGAGGGGAGA